AGTTAACCACCCATATTATCCATTAGAAAAAGGGTTGGATAATGAACTTTTTAGAAACGGGTCAAATATGGATAAGAACCATATTATCCATTTTCAAATGAGTAACCAATGGATAACCAATGGGTCTAACTTTTACATTTGTAAAGCCTCAAATTGGGGGTTCCTCAAGTTAGGGGGAATAAGAATTCTCCCAAAAGTGATCATATACAAGAAGTCATGGATAATATGGGTAACTCATATTATCCGCCGGTTAATCCGTATTAAATATAGGTTGGGTTGGATAATAGATCCATTTTTTCATTACCCGTTTCCGACCCGAACCATATCCGACCTGACTCGTCCGTTTGCCACTCCTAATGTTAATAAATGGTTCTAAAGAAGGAATTGCTATTGTTACTGTGTGTGTGCATGCGTGCGCACGCGCTATTTTTTCCTTCTTTTCGCAGCACTCGTAGAAGTGTCCTCCTACATTGCGAGGACTGATCCTAACAATCCAGAGAAAAAGAAAAGTTGCTTGGACTGATCTCATGCTTCATTAGCTGTGGTTACATTGCTCTGCTATATTTTTCCTTCTGTTTCTCTGCTATATTTTTCCTTGGAATTTTACTCCAACCATGATTTTCTATTTAACTTGATTTTTCAAAAGGTTGTAAGTTGAGCAGAAGCTGGTATCATTCAGATTTTATCGCTGTCCCCAAAGGCTGTCATCTTTGTTTCTCCTCCTGCTTTTGGAGATAACAACTGATGGTGTATGACATGATATGCTAAAAAAGCTACCCATCAAAATCTTCAATCTAATTTTCCCTTAACTTATTCAAAGTTTGGCACATCTCAAATGTCTACTAACAAAAGTTTTTTTTTTTTTCCTTTTCTGAAGTATCAAACTGTGCCTTATTAATTACAGATTAAGATCAGTTATTAAGTTAGGACAAAGATATGAACGCTTCACAAAAGATTAAGCAACTAGGATGCTATTCTTGAAGAGAACAAAATCTGCAGTCCAAAAAAAAAATAAAAAATAATAATAATAATAATAATAATAATAATACAGTATCCGAGTGAGCTCAATAATGAAAAGTAACACTAGTAAATCCTCAGGAGGAGGAAGCAGAGGCGGATCCAGGATTTAAAGGTGGCGGGTGCCAAAATTTCCTTTAATGTACATCTTATAATAACTACTAATATATAGTTTTTTCGGAACGTTTGTCCGGTTCAATTTTTTAGTTTATTCGTGCAATTTAATAAGCACTTTATTTGCAAATATAAAAATTACATTAATTTTTCAGACCCTACTTATGGAATTTCATTGGGTATATATGTTATTATTGTCGTATAAAAATTACATTTCAGGAATTAAGAAGCAAAAATAATTAACATTTTAAAGAAGGAATCACACTTTTATTATTAATAATACAAGTAAAATCAATATTTTCACCAGGGAACTATGTTTTTTTGTATGCTAAAAATAAATTTGCACAAGTAAAATAAAATCTTTAATAAGGGAACTCCACTGATCAGAATAAGGAAAAAAAAATCTTCAACAGATAAATTATACCCCATAAGTAAATGCAGAATTAGATAAACTACGAGATCTCAAAACTTAAAATCATAAATATAATGCTTGCGAAATATTTATCATAATTTATTACTAAAGAGATATAAATTGTATTTAACAATCATAAAATAACACAAATTTTCATGTTATAATAAAAAAAAATTATAAATTAATATTGATCTCAATCTAAATATCAAAACCCAAGTTTTTTTTATTTTGAAAGAAGAAAACTAAAAGATTTGAGAATAAGAGAAATGTTTATATTATGAAATTTTAAAATTTGGAGGCTCTTTTTTGAGTGTTCTTGCTAAATATCACAGATAAAGTAATAGAATAAAGGGGGGGGGGGAAATAAATAATAAACAACAAATAAGAAATTAGGAGGTAGCTAAAAAGGAAAATGACTGGGATAAAAGAAATAAAAAGCGTAATGAAAAAGGAAAGTCAGACAAGGTTCAAGATAAATTCGAACTTGAATTTTACACACAAGAGAAAAGCTTTCAAAAAGGTCTACCAGTCATGGCACCTATGTCTAGTTTGCGGATGGGGGTGGCAGGATCATATATTTAACCTAATTTAAATTTTTTTATACATAAATAGATAATAATTTTACCAACCGAGCGGGTGTCATACCACCCCACCCAGAAGGGTGGATCCGCCCCTGGGAGGAAGTAGATGTCATTCCAATAATATCAGCGAAATCCTGGAGTACTGCAAGTGATATAGGACAAAAAATCCAGCCTGTTACTCCTTCTAGCTGCAGGCTGATGAATTGAGATTGGCCCTCTCTTTTTACATAAGACGTATTCCACGTTAGGCCAAGGGAGCTTAAAAAGAATGTGGATGTTTTCAAGGAAGATACAAACTATTTCACTCAACTAGTAACTATCATACATCACATGCCCAATTATCCATTGGCTCCATTTTTATAATTGCCAGGACCATATGGCATAAAACAAAAAATAACAAATTTAGCAGAACTTCTTGTTTAGACAGTAACCACTAGGTTCCAATGTCACCCTTATCAATAACAATAATTGAAGATATGGGACCCTCCATCAAGAAAATGAACCTATAAACAGCAGTTTGATGGATATCCCATATGAGCTAGTAATTACTAGCCTTCTATAGCAGTTTAACAAGTCCTAAAGGAATATAACAGTAATGGACTCCGTTGGTGAAATGGAAGATGAGATTCAACCAAGAAGTTACTGGAGATGGAGCAAACACGATTTCTTCCCAGAAGAGTCTTTCCAGAATTGGAGCACATACCGATCAGCACTATCACAGACATTTACCAGATTCAAGGACCGAGTTGCAAGCCGTTCTGAGGACGCTGATGAGATTGAGGAGCTAAGGAAACAAAGTGAAAACGAGATGAAACATTGCCTTAGTTGGTGGGACCTCACCTGGTTTGGCTTTGGCTCGGTTATTGGAGCAGGCATCTTTGTACTCACTGGCCAAGAAGCTCATGAGCATGCTGGACCAGCTATAATTTTATCCTATGTAGCTTCTGGCATTTCAGCAATGCTCTCTGTATTCTGCTATACAGAATTTGCGGTAGAAATTCCTGTAGCAGGAGGGTCATTTGCGTACATCAGAGTAGAACTAGGAGATTTCGCGGCCTTTATCACAGCAGGAAACATAATTCTTGGATCCATTGCTGGAGGCGCAGCAGTAGCAAGAGCCTGGACTTCTTACTTTACAACACTCCTGAACCTTCATCCAAACTCTTTACGTATACATACAAAACTCGCAGATGGGTTCAACTTATTAGATCCAATAGCTGCTGCAGTTCTAGTAATTACATCAATAATTGCAATAAGCAGCACTAGAAGAACTTCATATTTCAACTGGATAGCATCCGCAGTAAATATGATGGTAATTTTATTTGTCATAGTTGCTGGATTTGCTCATGCCGATAGCTCAAACTTGACACCCTTTATGCCACATGGTGCCAAAGGTATCTTTGTTGCAGCAGCAATTGTGTATTTTGCATATGGGGGTTTTGACAACATTGCAACCATGGCAGAGGAAACAAAAAATCCATCAAAAGATATACCACTAGGATTGCTAGGGTCAATGTCAATTATCACCGTGATANTATACCACTAGGATTGCTAGGGTCGATGTCAATTATCACCGTGATATATTGCTTGATGGCACTTTCACTGAGTATGATGCAGAAGTATACCGATATAGACCCTAATGCCGCCTACTCTGTTGCATTTCAAAGCGTGGGAATGAAATGGGCAAAATATCTGGTAGCCCTCGGAGCTCTTAAGGGAATGACCACTGTCCTTTTGGTAGGAGCGATTGGGCAGGCACGCTACGCCACTCATATCGCACGAGTTCACATGATCCCGCCATGGTTTGCTCTTGTTCACCCAAAGACAGGAACTCCCATAAATGCAACTCTATTGATCAGACTTGCAAGTGCCTGTATAGCCTTCTTTTCAAGTTTGGATGCCTTGGCAAGTTTGTTATCTGTAAGCAGCCTTCTTATATCGATGATGATGGCTGTTGCTCTGCTTGTGAGGAGATATTATGTCAGAGGTATCACCCCCCGAACGAATCTTTTGAAGCTAACCTTTTTTTTACTGGTCATAATTCTATCTTCCATAGGGACTTCTGCTTACTGGGGACTGAACCCTAATGGTTGGCTTGGCTACACGATAACTGTTCCCCTTTGGTTCCTGGCAACTTTGGCAATATCAGTTCTTTTGCCACAGGAAAGAACACCAAAAGTCTGGGGAGTCCCACTGGTTCCATGGTTCCCATCCCTCTCAATTGTGATAAACTTGTTTCTCATGGGATCATTAGGAGCTCAGGCATTTATAAGGTTTGGCATATGTACGGTTGTAATGCTGATGTATTATATTCTTTTTGGACTCCATGCAACTTATGACATGGCTCATCAACCAAAGAAGGTAATGTCGTCAATGATCTCGGAAGAAGACGTGGAAAAAGCCAGGTCATAAGTTTTTTTACACCTACCAAGAAATCTTGGACTTGAGTCCCAATCGCACTTATTCCTGAAACCATAAGATTTATGTTAGATGAAGTCATTTGCTAAAGAAATAGCAACACACACAATTCTACCATTATGAATAATAAGAACTGTCAACTACAGCTCATGTTAGAGGTACATTCTCAAGAATCTGAACTACAGTCAAGTCCACAAATAGAGTAAAAGTATAAACGTTACAGGAGGGAAAATATGTAAAGTAAGAAGATAAACATCAGCACATAGGAAACACATTCTAAATCAAGATTAAAGATAAATTAAAAATTTGAACACTCACTTCAAGGAACTAGTAGTGTTTGTATCATTTTCATATTTTCTTGAACTTTTCTAAAACCCGAGCAATGCTTCTCAGAAGCTTCGGCACCAACTTCCATGCCACATATCCGAGTGCCACTTGACAAAATGTCCCCCAAAAGTTACAATTTCTGCTTAATGATCATTCATAAAAGCCAAAATAAGTTGGATCCATATCATCCCAATGAAAATCATGTAGCTTCATGTCCATAAAAAAAAGAGTGTATTTGATGGATAAATGAACCTAGAAAATGGTAATAAGCTTAAGAATTCAGAAACTGAGAAACATCTGAATTTTGAAAACTTTCAAATGAATATTACTAGACTAACAGTAATGTCACTAGCTGCAACCACCGAGATTTTGTCATCTTCTACTGCTTTTTCATGCTTCAACCACTTGCACATCATGAAAGCACATGTGATGACCCTGTGGAGTTCTCACTACCATTTTCAACTTGAGTTTCAAGCTTCTCATATGCAACCACCACACTCACAATATCTCTTTCACCCACCATTGTCATCCCAAGTTAGTTGCGAAAAATAATAACTCTAATCGTTGTACCACAAGAAAATTAAAATTACATATGCAAGACGCACCAGCAGATACGTTTAGTTCCTTTACCAATCAAAAGAACAGTAGATATTAGTTTGTGCATTCACCTACTAACTTAAACAACTTAAATAATCAGAAAAATTGCAAATCTGGCTTCTAAAGTTAGGGGGGAGGGGTGCTGCTATTACAGGAACAAATATATAAACAACTAGTAAATGCAAATCACACTGAAGCGCAGCATATAGGAAGAGATATTTACTTCACATGAGTACAGAGAGCACTTTTAGTTTGAAGTGGAATGGTTGAGAGAGCAACGCCAGAGGAAAGTGCACAGAAGAGCGACTTGCAGGCCGGTAGTACTATGTTATAAATTCAACAAATTAATACCTAGTAGCTTCAGCTCAGTAGTAGTCGCACTGTAACAACTATTCTTTGTTTTACGATTTCTATCTGATTGTCTTTTGTCCTTAAGATAAATGTTCTGGTGTTCTTTTGTAGCACCATTTCTAGAGGAAATTTGAACATTTTAAAATTAATAAAATGCTGGTTTTAACATCAAAACTGTTCGTATCTCTTGCAATTCCAAATAAGAACTTGTCTACGATAAGCACCAACCTCTATATAAAAGGAATGCTTTCAGAGAAAGCGCACACGCTCAAATATCCTTTTTTAATATCTTAAAGCAGTGTCCTTCTGCTATCATTATCGGTTAAGTACAAATATTACAGCTTATTTTAAGTCCCAAAAAAAAGTTGTTAAGAAAAGAAACTGCGTCGATTTTTTATGCTGACTTCTTTTCAGGAAAACTCCAAAGATTTGGCATCAGCATGTACACTGGAAATTGATAACCCCTGCTATTGCCGCTGTCTCCGACCACAGGGAATATCATATCAAGAAGAAATAAGCAAACAAAAATTTGAACTTATTTTCATAAGCCATATACAACAACAAACTCTCATAATTTAACATTATAATACACAACTTGAAAATAACTTATATGAATCTGAATTAGGATTTAAACAACCATCTTGATAGAAATTGAAACAAAGAGGAAGCAAAAGGTAAGTAAGAAATGTAAACAACTATAAAAGAATAACCTAAAAATGAACTCGTTTTAGACTCACCAAAATGATCAGGCATGACCAGAGGTATTGAAGTGTCGTAAAAACAGACATGTAACAAATTTATAGATTAGAACTTTTAGATTCAAATCTAGCATATCGTAAGAAAGTGAAGAACAAAATATTCAATGACATTTTGCTTTCTTTTTAGTATCCTAACAACTTATCTATCCTAGATTAAGATAATTGCAACGTTCTGTATCCATTTAAGAGCTTTGCCGAAGTAACCGATAAAATATGTCATTTTTTGTTGCTTACATGTTCAACTGACATGCATTCAAACTAAAAGAAAAGCAGAATGTAAAATTATGGATGCAAGTGTCTGTTTGGAAATAAGCAGTTATCCCCTCATTGTATAATTGCTGAAATATACAGAATGGATCTTGTGAAAGAATCTCACGTCTGTGTCCTCTTTTGTCCCCTAGGAGCAATGTGCCCATGGGAAACAAAGTTTCAGGATATTGCATTTTGCAACCAAAAAAAAAAGAAAATATCTAACCTCTAATATCAGATGAAAAGGTCACTCCAACACTTGTTAATAGCTCCTTGAACCTTCTTTGGTTTGCAGAGTTCTCGAATAATCATTTCCCAAGTAGAGGACTTGGGATAAAGAAAATTTTGAAGCATCACTTCTATAATTCTTGAAGCTCCTACAATTCTCTGTCGCCTGTACAGTTTCAGCACCAGCTTATCCAGGAAGTCTTCCCCATCTCGGGATACATTTTCTTTTTCATTTAAAGTTTTCAAGAAAATATTACATGTAACTGCGTCAGGATCACAACCTTGATCCAACATAGTATTCAAAAGATCAATTGCTAGAGAAACTCTATCCACCTTGCATAAAGCATTAAGAATTATGTTATATGCTATTACATCAGGCTGAGACTCAGATCCTCTACATAGCATCTCATTGAAAAGTCTCAATCCCTGATCCACAGACCCAGCATTGCAAAGGCCGTGAATCATTGAACTATAAGCCACGGCATCAGGGACCAATCCTTTGCCTAACATTTGCTTCCACATCATCATAGCCTCTTTGAGCTTCCCGTCTTGACACAGTCCGTGGATGAGTACACTGTAACAGATTTCATTACATGTGATACCACTGGTCGCCATTTCTTTCCATACAAATATAGCCTTGTTGCTGTCACCGGTTTTAAAGTACCCTTTCATTAGAGAGCAGTGAGTGTAGGCATTGGGAGTGCAACCCATTTTAATCATCTCAGAAAGGATCTCCTTAGCTTCGTCAGGTCTGCCTTCTTGACACAAGCCATCTATAAAAGCAGAATAAACAACTGTATTAGGCTTCACTCCCTTTTCTATCATTTCCGTCCATATTTTTAACGCCTCTTCAGGTTTTCCCTCTTTAAACAGCCCACTAACTAGCGCTGAGTAGACATATTCATTTGCCAGATGTCCTTTCTCCTGCATTGCCAACAAGATCTGCACGCCGTCACTTGCTCTTCCTTGCTTAATGAACCCATTGATAATAGTTCCATAGGTTACATCAGTCGGGACATACTTATTTGACACCATTCTATCCAATAAACTAACAGCTTTCTCCAACTTACCTTTGAGGCACAAACCATGTATAAGCGTGTTATAAGTCACTTCATTGGGGACACACCCTTTAAGAAACATGTTATCCAAAAGCTTTGCAGCTCGAGCCAAGTCACCTTTCTTGCAAAGCCCATTAATCAACACATTAAATGTTACTGGAACAGGAAAACATCCCTCTATCTGCATTTCATCCAAAAGAATAACCGCCTCATCAATCCGGTCATCCTTGCACAAGCCATCCATCAAAGTGCAATACGTATAAACATCCGGCTCGCATTTCCAAGAAGGCATTTCTCTGAACACCTCCATAGCTCTATCAACCATCCGAAGCTTGCACATAGTCTTCATAACTAAATTAAAAGAAAGCCCATTCGGCATAATGTTACTATTATTTATAACACGAGCATAAAAATCTAATGCACGACGATATAAGCCTGCCTGAACTATCACATTAAGAACAGAATTAAACGACTTCACGGTTCGTTTACATTGAAACTCATCCACCATTCTATCAAACAATTCGACAGCTTTTTCGGGCAAACGGGCTTTTCCATAAGCTCTAAACACTAAGATAAAACTCTTCTCAATAGAGACTCTTTTTTCGCGCTTCATTCTATCAAAAACCATCTCCAAAGACCCGAAGTCCCCAGAACTAGCATATTTCTCAACAAGGGAATAGAATGTAGAATCACCCATTTTGAAAGAACCTAACTTTGGGGCCTCTTTGAATAACTTATCTGAAATTGGTATTTCCATTTCAGTTTCACAAGAACCCAACATGGGTTTTGGGGCAAATTTAAATGAATTATCAAAAGGGGGCATTTTCATTTCAGTTTCACAAGAACCCAACTTGGGTGTAGGTGCAACTTTAAATGAACTATCAAAAGGGGGCAAATTTATTTCAGTTTCACAAGAGCCCAACTTGAGTTTTGAGGAAAAATTAGATGAATTATCAAAAGGGGGAATTTTTATGTCAGTTTCAGGAGAACCCAACTTGGGATTTGGGGAAAGTTTAAAAGAACTATCAGAAGGGGCAGCTTCTATTTCATGGTCAGTATGAGAGGGGTTGGAAAGAGCTGAAAAGAAGTGGTAAATGGTGAAGTTAGAGAAAGACTTACATGGGATTAGGTTTGAGCTGATGAACTGTTTGGTAGTGAAAGTGTTAAAGGGCATGCCTTTTTTATAAGGATGTTAAAGGGCATGCCTTAGTCAACTCAGATTCTCACGAAGTGGAGAGAACAAAAAAACTTCTGGAAATGATCATTTTGGGTTTAAATTCAAGAATCTTAGGCTAAGGTTCAAGAAAATGAAGAAGGTCTCTGCACCTAGAGAGGCTGAAGAGGAAGAAGAAAACACGAGAGGGGCAAGCGTAGGTAGGACAGAAGACCNTTGCGGTTGGCTCTTTTAATTTTCTTTTCATCATTCTAGCGAGAGAATTTCGTTCTCAAAAATAAACAACCAAACGTGTTTTCTCTTTCTCTAAAAGGAAAAAAAAAAATTGTTTTTCAATTTTTGAGCTTCGAAATATTCTTCAAATTAAAAGCCTGTGTTTAAATTTGTAAGAAATTAACAAAAAATTTAAATTGTTTAGTATCTGTTGAAAAGACATGTATGGTCACATGCAATTATTTTTTGAATCTTTATAATACAACATTTTTAATAGTCTCTCGGAGTCTAGGGCAAAGATACTTTCGGCTCGCGCCCAAACTAGTTATATTTGGTAGTTATAAAAATGTATAAAATTTGTATATTTTTGGTATAGAACATATAGAAATAGTATATATATATATATACTAGTCTTAAGATACGCGAGTTACGCGTGTGCCCTATTCAATAAGTATAATATTTTTTTTAAAAAAACTCATAATATTATATTAAAATTATAATATAAAAGTTTAAGAAAAAGTATAAGTTTTAGAAGATGATGATTATCGATCCTATTTAGCTAACTCAATAAAAGAAGAAATTATGCCCCGTAGAAATACTCAATCTTTTCAGTAAATATATTGAAGTTAAAATTATTCCAGTTATATAATTTTATAATTTCAATTTCGTAAGTTATCATATTTCAATTTATAAAGCTTCGTTTTAGTCTTCAGACATGTGTTTTGCGTGTGTAACTTATATCAATGAATACACAATGTATTTGGATACAAAAATAAAAATTAAATTAAAAGTATACATTTCTAAAGATATTGAATATTAATCTCATTTAGCTTGTACGAAGGAAGAAATATTTTTATTGTGATTTTTGACGTTGTCACTTATCGAAGTGATGTGATTCCCGTCTTTCTTCCTGTCTCTCTCTATGTTCATCTCTCTTCCTCTTTTATATTCTTAATTATTTATATATTGGCGAGTGTAGTTTATAGATAGTATACTAACAATTCGATGAAGAGAAGTGTGTTGTTTGTGTACTAAATTAAAATTGTTAAAATATAATACCAAATGAATTATAGTTATGTTATATTATTCAAATGATAAAATAATCTATATAGGAAAAAATCTTAGCTATTTTTAGAATCCACATAGTTGGAATAAGGATTCTTAAATAGACTTATATATAATTTTGTTTTTGGATATGAAAATAATATTTTCCAAAACCATCTATCTTTCAACTTCTTGATTTTGAAGTCCAAAATATTTCGATTTTTATATAATACATACAAAAAGATTTCATAAGCAACATTTTTGTTAATATTAAGTCTTAAATATGAGAAAATAATTACATGAAATTTTGTTCGACGTGAAATTTATTTTACAAAAACACTATTATTATATAGATATAGATAATCCATAACGATCTAGTAGTTGCAGCATAAACTGCATATACATTCCATTCGTGAGAGTTATTCTTCGCCAAAATAATAATAATTATACAATGGCATATAACGAAGTGTAAGGTCCCGTAAAAAATTTTGCTCAAAACCCGAGATCTCGTAGTGCTAAGTTAGGAATATGTGTTAAAATTTTGTAAAATTCTTTACGGCGAGCTTGCGAGCCTCGGTTCGGACCCTTTGGATTGATCTATGCATTAAAGAGTTAAGGAATAATATTTTTCAGAAGAACACATTTTTGCGGCCCATTATGCGGTCGCATAATAGCTATGCAAACCGCATAGTCGTCGCAGAGTGAGGAAGTTTGATGGTTAATTTTAAGGTCACTATGCGGCCAATTATGTGATTGCATAATCAATATGCGGGCCGCATAGTCATCGCATAATCTCCTTGGAATTTTGCTAGGGGCAGTTTTGCGGTGCATTATGCGATCACAAATCAGGTGTGCAGACCACATTCTTGTCGCATACCTGGACAGTTTGCTCATGTTTTGGGGGAAATTTTGCGGTCCCTTTTGCGGGCCACATGTTAATTATGCGATCGCAGATTGTGTGAGGGCTCCTATTTTTTAACTTTTAAAACCCGACCTCATCCCATTAAAAGCAACCCATTAGACCCATTTTATGCTATTTTACTGCAAATAGAGTGAGAGAGGGAGTCCTAGAGGGAGAAACTAACTCTCACCAAATCACTACAATCCTTGCCCAAATCTTTGAAGACTTTCAAGTAAAATTTGCTAGGCCTTCATCCTAAGAGGTAAGAACTTGTGCCCTAATCTACGATTTCGAAATTTCTATTAAAATAAGTGATTAACAAGTAGGTTCATGGGTATAATGATTGATTATCTCACATGCATAAATGATAATAAGGTATGGGGAGATTGTGAGTTAAAAAAGATAGCAATTGGGGTATAAGATGATAAAAATCTCTCACAAAAGGGTCCTAAAATCACAATGCACACTTAGTACTTGATAATATACTCAAATGAGCTAGAATCTTAATCATGTCTCTAATTCTTGGTTCAATCTGTAATTCTCATAAAAGAGATTGAAGTTGCTAGGAGTTCCAGAATTATTGTAAGAATTTAAGGAAAGCTCTATTGAGGTATGTATGGCTAAAAACCCCTCTTCTTAGAAATTGAGCTCCCATGGTGTCCATATAAATGTTGTAAGTCTGAAAATTTATAGATGTGGTGCTTGTTATTTCAAGTGAATTGGTGTTGCTAGATTATATGTGGAAGGTGTGTTTCAATGTGCACAATATGCTATCCTTGATAAATTGAGAATGTGTGAAAGATGCGAACTATGTGCTAAAATGCCTCGATTCGAAGTCAAGTTTAAATTGAGATTGTTATGCCACACTATGTGAAATTCTCTCCATGCTTACAACTTGAATTGCTCATGTATGTGTCTATGATCTCAAATGGCAATGTTAATATTGAAAATAGGAATAATGTGAAACGCGAGTTATGAAGTGTGGCCTAGTGCCAAGTATGATGTGGTAATTGTCCCCCCAAGTGCCAACGAACTAATACGTGTGAAGCAAAAATGGAAATAAGATGATTAATGGACAAGGGTAACGTCTTGGTAAGACGGTCTAGCCGATTGGGCCGTGATCGGATGTCATGCTACACACATGGTGGTATTTGTATTGATATTGAAACCAGAAAGTGGGAATGAAATAGTGATTGAGGTATATGTCTCAAATGAGGCAGCTTAGCCGATCGGTCCGTGATCGGACTCCGCACAAGGAAAGCGGTGGTACTATGAATGATGATGCAACAATATGGAATGCCCCAACCTAAAGTTATGAAAAATATGTGAAAGCTATGTGGACCTTTTATTTGATAACGTGGTGATTGTTTGAAGCTTTGTTAGTCCTTATGATTTCTTTACTCTTGTATGGTTGTTCTTTCTAACAAGATGGTGTTTAGTTATACATACTAGTACTATTCCATGGTACTAACGTCCCTTTTGTCGGGGGCGCTACATTTTTGAATGAATGTAGGTGATTCTAAAGCAAACAGTGCCGATCGCAGGTAGCAGAGTAACCTCCTCTCAGAAGTCTTGGTGAGCCCCTTTCCTTCAGGGGTTATGTTGTACACGTTTTGTTATAAAATTTTCACTTTTGAGGTATAGCGGGGGCCTTGTTGCCGGCGTTATCATAACTGTCTTTTGCATCCTTAGAGGCACCGTAAACGTTTGTGTGGGTTATGTTCGGGTATTGGATGGGTCACTAGACTACGTTATAATTCTAAACTCTCATTTCCTCTAAACTGTAACTGCATAATATTTTGGAAACATAACTATGGTTTAAGGGTTATAATAGAAAATGAACTAGCGATGTTGTATGAATGATCTTTCTTACTGTTTAGTTTAAATGAAAGTATGGTTTCTTGATCATATTGAGTTGGGTAGAAGGTGTCAAAAAGGCTTGTTTGGTCGGGTTCACTCGATTGAGCGTCAGTCGCGTCTCCCGAGGTTGGGGTGTGACATGAAGTCATTGTGATTTGTAATATTGTTTGAGATAAGTGTAAAATGAACGTGGAGTAGATATTTGTTTTTCTCTCTTTTTAATTCTGATAAAAATCGTTAAAAAATGCTAGCTCTTCTTTCACTTTACTATATTGTATAGTATTTCTGAATGATTGAGTTGATAATATTTTGGACAATAACTTTAATAGTAAAATTACATAAAATTTCTTAGCAGAGATGGTGAGAACTTTTACTTCGAAATATAATTTGGTTAGCATAACTTTGACTTTGAAACTAATAGATACTGATTATTTACGTCCAGTATTAAAAATAGAATCATGTTAAACTTTTATAGAAGTGTGAATATGTATTTGTAAATAGCTTGTTTCTGCAATGAACTAAAATTAAAATATAATTGATTTTAACCTCCTAAATATAAGTGAGACTAACGTGAAATATATTATACTTATTCGCACCCAAAAAAGAAATATATTATACTTATGCTATATTGTTCAAATAAGGAAAAGAGTTTATGTAATGTAGAGTTTAATCGATTTTAAATTCCCAAGTATTATGATTTGTACATACTTCAAATAAGGAAAAATTTAACAACCAAAATTTTAGTTGATTTTAAAATCCTAAATATTAGAAAGTAACTAAATTACAATTTTGTCCTATGTGAATTCTATTTTAAAGGGGTAAAAAAGACAAACAACATTTCTCTAAGGGCCTTCGTCCTTTTAATATTATATAGATATAAATAAATATTTCGATTATTATTTTGAGAGCGGATACACAATGTCATTTTCCTGTATTAATTTTAATGAACCAAAAATGATGGAGTCAATTATTCAAGGAATTTTTACATTCCTATGCCATATAGGAAATTATATTACCCTCAATGTTTAAGGTTTGATATAATTATATTTAGTATACTTAATTACCAATTATATACCATTCGTGGTTTTTATATTCCTTCTAATACCCCCCCCCCC